GGATCTGGCTTTTGTTACACAATGTTTAATAGTTGTACGAACACAACTATCAATACAGGTTCGCTGAATGTATGGAAATGGATTATCTCCTAAAATAAGATAGCTGTTGAAAAATCATAAGACATAGATGTTTATTATTTTTTAATCTATTACAATAAAGAAAAATTAAGTATAGAGGAGCAATTAAAAAGTTATGACCAAACAAAGCTGCTTTTTCTTTAATGAATTATTTAAATTTTACTCGAAATTCTGAACAAAATTTATATAGTTTTCGAGATAACGAACATTGAAAATCATTTTATAAATTATACAAAAATATTTTAGTCCATTAAGTTTATAGTTCATCAAGTTACCTTTGAAAGGTTCTAGCTCCATAATAAAGCCGCGTGGTTCATATTTCCGAAAGATTTCAGAAAGAAATTTTTTACACTCTATCATTTTTCTACTGTCATTCCACCACGATTCTGTTTGACGTATTTATAATCTATCTCCAAGTATTCTAATGTTGAGGTCCAAGTAAATCAGATATACTTATTCCGTCCCAAGTTCAGTAACTCTAGATATATTTCTTTCCCGATGCTGACGCTGTGCATCTTGCAGCTCACATTACGCGCATTTGTCGCTGGATGGTTACATTTGTAACGCTACACCCCATTCCGAAGCAGACGTCATTCATCTCTGCTGAATTTATACAGTGACGTTAACTTCGGTCATTTGTCAGGGGACGTCACAGCGATATCTGAAATGAAAAGTAGAATATTTAAAATTTTATTAATAACAAACCATAAATGTGAAAAATGAGCCGGGTGGACGTTATAAATGGGTCGCTAAATTTGGAATGCGCCCGGAAAAATATGTATTTAACCCGGGGGCTAATATTTGCTGAAATGGATTTATGAAATGCTTTATTAGACAACTTTCGCTGAATGCGGGCCCTGAAAATGATTCGGGACCCGATGAAATTTATTCTTTTCAGGAAAAACTCGTACAGATGGAGAACTTCCCCAAACTTCAGGCTTCAAGCCTATTTATTTATCATACAGTGTCCAACAGACTAAATATAATTATAGGACAGTGGTTAAACGATAAACAAATATAAGGTTGTATATAAAAAAGAAGAAACAAATAAATTGAACATAAAAATTGTCACAATTGCAAAGACAAAAACAGAAAAGCAATAACAAATACAAGAGTTATATAAAACGGCAAAATGCAATTAACAATGCAACAATGCAACAATACAACGATACAACAACACAAGAGTACAGCAATACAACAATACAACAATACAACAATATAACAATACGACAATACGACAATATATCAACACAACAATACAACAGTACATTATTACAACAATACAATAATACAACAATACGCCAATACCCTAATACAATAATACAACAGTACAGTAATACAACAATACAACACTACAACAATACAACAATATGCCAATACGACAATACATCTATACAACAATATAACAATATCCCAATATGCCAATTCGCCAATACGCCAATACACCAATACAACAATATAGCAATACAACAATACAACACTACAACAATAGAACAATACAACAATACAACAATATAACAATATACCAATATGCCAATACGCCAATATACCAATACAACAATATAGCAATACAACAATACAACACTACAACACTATAACAACACAATAACACAACAATACAAATAGAAGTAAATGACGATCCTAATTTTATTTCGTCTACTTTATGAACCGATGAAGCGATTTTTACCAAAGACGGCATTATAAATTATCGAACTTATGTCATTATATTATTAGACATTTAAAAAAAGCTTCTAGTAACGGGTTTCAATCAATATGTGGGAAGGAGTCTGCGATGGTACTTTACTGGAATTGTAATAACCCAATAATGACATGAACGCAAATGTTTATAGGTGCTTTCTCGAACACCATGTTCTGCATGATGTACTAAAAAACATTCTGTAAAATATTATACAACGGATGTTCTTCCAATGCGATGGTGTACCTCCTCACAATAGTAGATTCGTTACAGAGTGTTAAATAATCACTTTGGTGGATGAATTGGTCGACTTGGTCTTATGGGATGACCTCCAAAAAGTACGGACTTAGATCCATTAGATTTCTTTTCATGGAAATTTTTAAAGCAACGGATTTATTGCTATAGTACCTTAATTATATTGTTAGTTTTTAAATTTTGATATATTTTTCAATAATGTGATATAAACGATCTTATCAACCTACATTTTAAGACTATTTTTAGTAGAGGTATTATTCATTTCATTGTTTTTGTAAATCCATGTTATCTTTTGCTCAAGGACTATTTTCAGTAAAGTCCTTGTAAAAAATGCTTTTTCATAGTAAAATGAAAGTTAAATCTAAAACAGCTTACGGTATTATCATGTCAGTCTATTATACGGCGTACCTATGTGCTAATTTTAGTTCAGTCAACGCTGAAGTACGGTGTTATTTATAAACGTGTTTGTAAATTATCATCTACTAACGATTACCTTTAATATTTGCTTATTAATTTAAATAGACAATATTTGATTTTTCACTTTATAATTGATAAGACTAGTAATAAGACTTTTGGTTTAAAAATTAAATATTTAAGTACTATTTTTATCAAAGTACATTCCAATGTCGGTTAAATATATAATTAGGAAATTTGTATGTATCTACTCATAAAACATTCAAAACCTTTTTTTTATGTTAATAATTAATACAGGCACTTAAATATTTTGTATTTATTCTTCTTTTGAATCCAAAAATATTTAAAAGTTTCGTTTAGCCTCTAGAAAGTATCAAATCTGTCAAAAAAATATTTGATTTAAGTAAATAAAATTTTATATGCTAGTACTATAGTAGAAACAGCAGCAATTTTTTACTTGACGTTTCGTTCCTGCTCAGGAACTTTTTTTTCAAAAGAATTAATTGTCACATTTGTTAATATAAAAGTTAAATAATTAAAAACCCAGAACAACCATTCTATATAATATTCGTCAAATATCCAAAAATTATAGTAGACTCTTCAATAATTTGTAATTTTAAATTTAACGCATGCTTGTATTTTTAATTGATACATTATGTCTGGACAACATTAATTTTAACAACCTTCTATTGTGGTACGTGGATAATAATAATAATAATAA